CGACCACCTCTGTAGCTCAATTAAATCAATCTGCTTCATCAACGGAGAAATCTGGTTCTGGAGGCTTAGGCAGTTTAAGCAACTCCCTACCACTCTTATTCCTGAACCTATGAACACCTCGAAGTGCATTAGCAGCAAACTTAGAAGCATATATCGTTGCAACGAGGCTTGGAGAGGAACCCGACTGGTCATTGAGCTCTGCCTCTTCCTCTCTGCGTCGCAGTTCCACTTGCTTTCTCTTGCAATACCGTCGCCATGCAGCTTGGATGAAGCAGGCCGCCCATGTCCTCCACTGCTGCGAATAGAAGCGAAATGTGTGCTGTACTTGTCGACTATGGAGGCGGCGGAACTGACCCGCAACAAACTTCAACTCATCAGCCATTAATGCAAAAGCTTCTACTTCAGTCAAGGATCTCACTGTCCTTGTGGAAGAAGGGAGGTTGGCTCCAGCTTTTGGATCTAGAGCCCAGGTCAGCAGTTCCTCCCCACAGAAATCTCCCTCTTTAAGAATACTTCTATTGAAGAAGCCGCTCCTCCCACCATCGGTGGTCACACTCTCAAGGCGACCGCGAATGATGAAGAGCATTTCATCCACAGGGTCTCCTTCCCTGACAATGTAAGTGTTCTCTGTGTAAAGACTGGGCATTAGCCGTTCACATATGGCGTCCAGCAGTCGCTCGTCCATGTTTCCAAACAAAGGGACCTGAAAGGAAAAGGAAACGTGGGATAATGAATACATCCCTGCTTAATTCTTCAAGGCTGAGTTTCTAATATTCAGAATCCATAATATTAGAACGAGACAAGTTGTGGAAACCAAACAATAATTTTCTCACTCAAATTCCAAAATATATACAATGTAGAAAACGTGAGATTAAGATCCTGTATTGCAGGAAATAAATTAATATCTTTCTTATTTTCCTTGCCATTATTATGTTTTGTTATCTTTCTTATTCGCTTGCCGTTATTATGTTCTGTTTTTGGCAGATTTTGACTATATAATTCTCTTAGATTTAAGCCTTCCTTTTCAATCACTATTGTTGTATAGAACAACCTTGGGTGTATAAATAAAATAACTCAGAGAAACCTTTCTTTCTTCTATTTTATCAAGGTATCATAGT